TTTCTGATCAACTGTACAAAGATGGACTTAGGGCTGTTTATTACCTGGGGCTGTGCTGGGAGAGCCTGAGTATGAAGCAGCCAGGCGTAGGAGAGGCAAGTCTGTCACCCCTGTGGGGTGAAACCCAGGTAGGATTCAAGCTGCAACAGTCTTCTGATTTGCCCTAGGCCAGGCATATCCCCTCTCCAAGTCTGTTTTCTCATGCATAAGACACTCTTAATAGTTCCTATCTCAGAGAGCTGTCTTGAAGATTTAAAAAGATAAGGTTTGTAAAAGCAGCCACCTATCTCTGGCACATATATATAAATATGCTGACAGACAAAAAAAATTATGTTCACTCCTTCCTAAAAAAATTCTTTCTGATTAGGCTTTTACAAGCTCTCTGGCTTTCTGAAAATCTGCCAAGGCCCCAAAGATATCTTCATAGAAATATGTGAAGACTTAATAATGCCAGATATCTCGCATAGTGGTCACAAGTGCCAAAGGAGGGATACAGATCAACTTCTGCATCTGCAAAATGAAGAGATGTACAGCGTAGCCTCAGAAGTCCGGCTGAGTTAAAGTTCTCAAGCAGAAGCGGATCAGGGGTGTGGACTTGTTTTATGACCTGGGGAATCAGGGAGGGGCTGGAGAATAACACAGTCAAGTGTGATAGGGGATTCATTGGTGTTCATCATGACTACAGGGTCTCAGAGGTTCCTAATAAGCAAAGCCTTTATCTTCAGCTTCTACTTTTTCTACATAAGGTCTCTATTTAAGAGCAATATTAAAACAGCAAAACTTGAAGGAGAATGAGTAGGTCTGGATTATGTATGGTTTCCTATTTTGGATGATAAACATCAGAACATAATTTTTAATGTCAGTAAAAAGTAATAAACATGTACAGTGGTTTATATAAGGCAACCATGTGTCATTTCAGAAACGAGGACGGCACTAATCAAGCCTCACGGGTGGTATGAAGCTTTCTGACTCACAACCAACCCTGATATCATCCAACAGCTAAGCCTTCCCAGCCCTGGCTAACGTCAAACGCCGCCACAGTATGGGCTCTTCTCTCGTAAAGGACAAATCTACTCTCCAAAGCAGGGGAAAATTATGTTGTCAGAGGTGCAGTCGGTTCTTGTGTGAGCCAAACACAGGCTGTTCTTACAGGGGAAAATGAAGGTCTTGGATGAGCTGGACTCCTAAAGCATCTGGCCATGTTGTCCAACCACGCCCCAACAAATCACTGTTCATCTAGTTGCAGAGGAATCTGCTCAGCCCTAACTGCAACATGTGGAAATACAAAGGAGAGAATGGCTTCTCAATTCCTGAGTGTGCTCTGATTCTGCTAAGAAGCACAACAGCTTGTAATCGATCTGGCAAGAGCAGAATGATCTCATCTTTGAGAAAATTCAGGAGGCTATGCTGAACCTGAAGCAGAATAAATGGGCCTCTCTATTTCAATCAGAACTCAAAACATTTCCGATTTTCTCTAAAAGGATAGTTCAACCTTCCTCTCACAGTGCCTGAGTACCTATCAAATTATTATGGTGAGATTCTGCTGGCAGGGCACACAGGAAGGAAAGGTTCTGGCTCACTTCTTCCTGGGGGACAGGAGGGTCTGGGGACTGTCCTGAGACTGACCACCTCCCCACTCCCACACTGCCACCCTGCCAGATTCTGTGTGGTGCTGTCTCCACTCTCTCCCCACGCCACCCTCATATTCACACGTCCAGAGGCCAAGGTACCGGGAGTTTCCCCAAGAAGGAAAATGGAGGCTCAGGCAAAGGCTCTGCAGGTCAGACGCTAAGCACGCACTGCTCGAGGGACTCCAGGGCTTACGCAGGTGTACACTAAGTTGCACCTCCCCTCTACAATATGGGATCGTAAGCCCATAGCTCCCATGCCAGTCTGGCAAAATCAGAATCATCAGAAAAGCTTTTTAGACTTACAGATTCCTGGGCCCCACACTCAGCAATTCAGATTCAGCATGGGTGGGTGGGGCACAACACAGCTGCAATCTGTGTTCTTAAAAGGCTCCCCTGGAGACTGCCAAGCTGGGGGCCCCAAGACCCACAGAGACAGACAGAACAGCCCTGCTCTGTGACGGAGGAGGGTCTCCCTCTGGTCCCAGGGAGGTTTGGGAGGGAAAAGCACTCCAGAGTATGTGGCCTCCGTTTATTCAGAGAGTAAAGCCCAGAGGAGTGGCCGCACCAGAACTTGCATCTCCTGACTCCAAAATGAATGCCAACCTCTCTGTCAGGGAAGGGGCCTGGGCAGGTATGAACTTGCCAGGAGATTAGAGGAAGCACAAGTGTATAGGAAGCACAGAAAATCGAAATCCAGGAAGAGTGCAGGTGGGGAGGTCCAGCTGCTTAGAATGGTGCTAGATGAAGCCCAGTGTCCTGCCTCTCTAATGACAGCAAGACACTTGCTTTCACTCACCTCTCTGTAAAAATGGGGATGAAATTGTCACTCTAACCACTTCAGGGGAATGTGGAGGATCAACTGTGCAATGACAGGGAATAGGACTAAATAAAACACAAAACTCTAGTCCTTTTCTTCTTCCATGAGAGCCACTTCTTTACCAACATGGTCAGGCTGTAAACATCCTAAAGCTGAGTCTTCCCCCAAAAGAGAGCTTTCTCTTGTTTTCATGCTCAATAAATAGCTGTTTGCTGGTTGACAGCATTTCCCTTAGAGGGTGAGAATGCTCAAAGGGGCCTCTTGGCTCAGCTCCTCCAAAATCACCCTTTGTTTTCTGCCAGGGCTCTTCTGTCATTATGCATTAAGAAACCAATTTCTAATAAAAAATAACACTGAAGGATTTTCCACTGTATTTAGTCTGGAGTAAGGTGTAATTCATTCAAGTGAAACTGAATTAGTCACCCACATAATCTGTGACTATCAAAGCACAGGTTGAAAAGCAGTGAAGCCCAAACAGCTCATGGACTTAAATGTTAGTTTTGTCCTTATGTTTTAGTGCCATGCTGACAAATCTCAAGTAATTTGGTAAATAACTCTTTTCTTGAGTTGATGACATCCAGTCACCAAAGCCCAAGCAACCACAGCACAGATGCCAGTGACCCAATAACTTGGTGGCAGGAAGGACACAAAGATAATCAATTATCCCAGCCTGAATGCTTCACAGATTCATAAGACATCCAAGCCACTTCTAACTTCTTCTGAACAAATGCACTGCCTCTTACTAGGACTTTCCATTTAGTTCTCTCCTCGCTATCAGTACTAGCTGGGTGACCTTCAGAAACACACTTGGACTCTCTGGGTTTCTTTATCAGTAAAATAATGAAGGTAAACTAAAAGATTTTTAAGGACCTTTCAACTTTTAGATTCTGACTCAAATTTTCAAATCAACTTTCATAGTGTTGGATATCTGTGGAATGTACACTAGCATGACTTGTTAAAAAAATAAGGTGCTCTTCTCCCAGGCAGTTTCTAAACTGGAGATCGGAGATTGTTTTCTAATGGTTGAGAACAATATTAGTAACTCAACCTGTTTATTTCCCCTAGTATTTGGTTTATGAAACCACAATCTGACCCACCCACCAGGTGGGTACAGGAAGAACCCAACTTGCTGGGTAAGTTTCATGTTGAAAACAAAGTGCTGGCAATGTTTAGGTTCAAACTTGATCTTCACTCACAGCAAAGGGTGCCCGAGATTCTGACTGCCTCTGTCTACAGGACGAAGGCCTCAAAATAATAGTTGAATAATACCACATTAAAGATCTACGTCCATGCAGACTGCAGTAAGAATCTTACTTACTGTGCAAACTTAGGTTTTAAATGAGCCTGTTTCACCCAATAATGGGTTGAACAGACACAAAAAGGTATATATAATTATGTCCATCCCAGCAAATTACAGCCTCTGGTACTAATTTTCAGAAATAAATAGACAATTATTTTCTTATAAATGTAAACTGCTGAATATCCAATGTCTCCCTGTCGGACACCAGAGTTTCATCAATATTTTTAAGAAAAAAAAAAGTGTATAAAAATGAAAGTGGATAATACAGGTTTTTCTTCTAAAATAATGGTTTATAAAGCATTTTTCATTTGGTGAGTTTTTAAATATTCAAAACAACGTACCAGCTCTTTACTACTTTAATTTTTATTTTGCCCAGACAGCAGGAATTTATTCTTTAACTATGTTTATTTTTCCAACATTTTCATTTTGAAAAAGCTCGAATTCATAGTAAACTGCAAGAGCAGTAAACTACAATTTTTAAAATTAACACTCATTCCAAATTTATATTTTCAAGTTTTCATGCTCTTGAGGGTTAACTACATATCCTTGCATATATGTAAATGAGGCATACGTCTGTATTCACAAGAGTATCACTACTCAGTTATTTGTGTACTAGTAATAAATCCTAACTATTTTAATACCATAACAAGGCAGGGAATGTTTGCCATTAAAAAATATACATATCATTCTCTTTCTCCCCAGCGTGAGGCGATGTCCTAAGGCAATGGCCAACTATCAGAGACAATCTCCGATCTCCAGTTTAGAAACTGCCTGGGAGAAGAGCACCTTATTTTTTTTAACAAGTCATGCTAGTGTACATTCCTATGGAAAGCAGTTTCAAACAATAATACAACTTTAATTTCAAATGCAGAAGAAAAAAAAAGAATGTATTTACATCCACCTCCTGAGTCACTCTGTGCCTCAGACAGGAGAGTAAAATCAAAAGACACCCCTCAGTCGAGCTTTGGAACTTGAAGAGATGAAATTCCCCAAAGACCTCCCCCTGCCTGCGAACGGCCCCCTCGCGTCCGTTGCCGCGCGATCAGCGCAGTGACTCTAAGGGCTCAGGCGGTGAGACCGCGGCGGGGCCGGGCCCGGGCCTCGGGTGCTGACCAGGCCTCCCACCCCTCGCCGAGCCCGGGAGCGCGGGGCCAGCTCCAGCCACCCGGCTCCCTGCCCCTCGAACCGAGCCGGCGGACCGGCCCCGGCGTCACAGATTCATAAGACATCGCCAGCCGGTCTGCGGGTCGACCTTGATCTCCCAGCCGGGCGGCAGGGGGTCGCGGTCGCCGGCGCCGCCGCCGGACGCCATCTGCACCATGGGCGAGTGCGTCGCAGCGCTCATGCTGGGTCGGGGTCGGCCCGGGGCGGCGGGTGCGGGGACGCGGGGACGCGGGGTACGGGCCTGCGGGCGCGGAGTCGCGAGCTGGGCCGCCGCCGGGGCACCTCTCCACAGCCCTGCGCGCCGCAGACGTGTCCGGGAAGCCGGCGCCGGGCACCTTTATGAATTAAAGGAGGGGGTGACGTGGCCGGAGAGGGGTGGAAGTGTCTGGAAATAGCCTCCTCGCTGCCAAAGAGGACGGAGGAGATAAAGGGAGGCAGCAACTGGCCGGCTAGAAACTTCTGGTCCCATCCAGAGAAGTTGGCGGCGGCCGCGGGTTGGACGCGGAGCTCCGCCCTGACTCATCTGCTATAATCGTGGCGCGGCGCGGCGGGGCGGGGCCTCGGTCGGGGCCGCCCCTCCTCGCCCTGCCCTCCCCTCCCCTCTCCTCTCCTCACCCCTCCCCCTTCCCTCTCCTTCCTTCCCGGAGCTTGCAGGCTGGTGTCCCGGGCAGGGATCGCCCCGAGGGGGGCCGGGGCGCACCCGTCGGATCCGCCTGGGGACCGGCCGCGGGACGGGTGTGCCCCGGCGGCGTCCTCTGTCGCCCTGGCCGGGTTGCGGCTTCAGACTCGCTCCTTCTCTCTCGGGCCACGAGAGTGTTCCCGGAGCTGGCAGTCCGCGTCCCTGCCCGCTGCGCCGCCTTCGTATAAAAACAAAGTCGTCTTTCGGCTGGAGTCGCGCTCAGATACTCGGGGACAAGGGCGTCCCCCGCTTACGCTCTAATCGCTTTCTTTCTTGGGCTGTCCGGCAGGAGTTCTGAGCGTTAATCTGACCCTATAACAAAGCCAGGGAGAAAATGCAAGTGCAGTGGAAACTCACCTCCCTTTCTTTGGAAATCTGAAGAAGAAAGGAAAGATTGCTTCAGCTGATGGTTTTATTCTCCTTGTACCTCGTATCTCAGACATAGAAACTTTCATTGTCGTGAACAACTTTAAAGAAAAGTCACATTCTTTTCGGTTTGGATCTTTTTTTAATGGTAGAAATTGGTTCTTGCCATCTTAAATCTTGACTTTCATTTGGAAAGTAGGTACCATACCTAATCATGAGAATTTTGTTTGGTTGATTCAATGGCGGTTGCACTTGTAACCTCAATGATGGGCTCTCTGATTCCTCTGGGAGGGACAGAATGTGCTCCAGCACGAGAATATATGGGAGGTTCCATTTTAGATCCTTAGTTATGCAGACTCTCCCTTCCCCAGAAATGCTCTGGACTAATATGGGCCCCAGCTTGACAACTCCTGTTCAGAGAATGTCCTGGAACCCATAGAGACAACACCTCAGGCCTCTTCCTATTCTCAGATTACTCCTTTTGGAGCAAATGCCAGAGAGGACTGCCGATCATTTGTGATAGAATGAATCCCACTTACAAAAGTCTGTTTATCAGCTTTAAAGTTCAAAAACTCAGTTTTGTAAAAACCCAGAGGTAATTAGGCCCCAGGCACTGACTCCGGTCATCAAACACACAGAGACTGATGTATATGTCTGAATGCCAGTGTGCTAATTTACCATCAGAAATATTACTGTTGAAGGCAATGGACCCTCAAGTTCAATGGTCAAGTGTCTATCTTATGCTTCCTTTTATCTGAAGCCCTGAGCACAGGGCTGGGCCCAGAGTCCATACGGTATAAATGTTGATATTTATTAAAGATTGAATCCACAATGAATTCTTAGTTCAATCTTCTTCCTTTGCTCAATTTGCTTTCCACTACAACTGCCGTTAAAACACTGAGAGTAGGACCCAAGGCTTAGGCCAGGGACTGGACCTCCTTCCCACCACCAGGCACACTGCACCAGCCCCTCAGGGCTCACCCAGGCACCGAGTCATGGAGAAGGGGACCAGACGCCCCCCCTCCAACAACCAAGCACACCACCAGCACCTTGGGGCCCTGTCTAGGGGCCTGGGGCATGGAACTGGGGACCAGACCCCCCTCCCACAACCAGGCACATCATGCCAGCACCTTGGGGCCCACCCAGGGACCTGAGGTATGGAATCAGGGACTGGACCCACACCTCCCACAACCAGGCACACTGCCAGCACAAAGGAACATGCTCAAAACATCACCTCCGTGTGGGTGGCCCACCACAGCCACCACAATAACCATGGCTGCCACAAAAGTGGCTAGACATCACAACCACCACACAGATGGTCTGCCAGCCACTGGAGTGCAGTGACACAAGGAGAGTCACCAGCAGAAATAAAAGAAGATGTTGTCTCTCTCCACAAAGCCCATTTCAGAGTGACAGAAGAAGCATCTGCTCTATGATAATATTGGGAGAACTGATCACACCTCTCAGCATTGGACAGATCATCTAGGCAACAAATCAACAGAGTAGCCATTATTGTTTCAGAAGGAGAGAAGAAATCTAGGGTAATTAGAGGGGGGAGGAGGGAGGGATAGGGGGATTGGGAGAGATTGGACAAGGGGCATAAAGAATAATTACGATTTGTAATCATATATATGCTAGTAATATTGATTTGATCAACATATCTCAATGTTGAACCCAAAAAATATGTATAATCAATTTTGATACAATAAAAATTAAAAAAAATAAAATTAATTAATTAATTAACTTAAAAAAAACAAAGATAAACTGTCTATGCTCTTATTTAAGGCCAACCTTTCTACTTGTGTAGTAAATCTCACATACTTTTGCCTACTCAAGGATATTACTCTGATGATTCTCCCGTCTCCTGTATAATCAATTTTTCCCTTTCTATTTGATGTTTTCTTTTAGCATAAAGATATGCTTTTCCATCTCTAAAACAAAACGACTTCCCTTGATTTCACTTCTGCCTGTGACTACTATCCCATTTTTCTTCTTACCTTTATAGCAAAATTCCTGCAAAGCATTATCCGTGTAGGGGCCGAGGGAAAACTTCCCCTCCACCCTCTAAATGTTGGCTGAAAATCAACAGACAAAACACAGATTAACAGTAGAAGGGCATAACAAATAAAAATAAATAAATAAACATGGAGAGCGTTCTTTCCTGGCCATTTTTCTCCCCCGCTAGATGGAGCAGGGAGGGAGCAGGTTCCTCTGCGATTAACACAACTGCTTCTGATGGTTGTTCTCCACCAGGCGCTTCAAATGGGTTTGTCTAACACGCAGCCATGAGTTGTGGAGAGCTGGCTGGAAGGAGCTCCTTTGAGCCCTGCTGAAGGAGTAGCACGTCTGTTGGTGGGGCTTTTCCCCCTCTTCTTAGGATGCTTGTTCTGTAGGCCTCCTGGAGTTCATTTGTCCAGATGAGAAGCTTAAACATGACCCTGTGTATTAGTTTGTTTTCTGTTGCTTATAACAGAATAGCTGAAACTGGGTAACTTATAAAGAAAAGAAATTTATTTCTTACAGTTTTGGAGGCTGGGCAGTCCAAGGTCAAGAGGGGCTTCCTCCTGGTGGGGACTCTCTACAGAGTCCTGAGGTGGTGCAGGGTATCATATAGTGAGAGGACTGAGTGTGCTAATGTGCTCTCTTCTTCTTATAAAACCACTAGTCTATGCCCGTGATAACCCACTAATCCATTAACCCATTAATCCGTGAATGGCCCTTGTGGTCTAGTTACCTCTTTTTTTTTTTCTTTTTTTTTTTTGGTGGCTGGCCAGTGCTGGGATCTGAACCCTTGACTTTGGTGTTCCAATTACCTCTTAAAGTCCCCACCTTTCAAATACCATACTGGGGATTAAGTTTCAACATGAGCTTTGGAGGAGACAAACATTCAAATCATATCACCCTGGATTCCCCTTCTCTCTCAACATCTGATTATCAACAACTTAGGAGGTGTAGATTCCACCTCCTAAATATTCCTTGACTTTGTGTACTCTTGTCTATCTTCAATGCCACCAACCTGTCCATGTCACCCTCGTCTTTCATCTGGACCCCAGCACAGCTTCCTATTTGGTCTCCCAGCCTCTAAACTTGTCCATCTCCAATCCATTGCTCACATGGCAGCCAGAGTGACCTTTTCAAGCACAAAATGGATTTTGCCCTTTTTCTGGTTAGAATCCTTTAATGCCTCACCATTGTCCCCACTATATCCAAGTCCACACTCCTTGGCCTGTGTATACAAAGCCCTTCCTCCCCTCACTCTGGTGCACCCCCATCTTGCCCTGCTGAGCTGTGTCATGCACACACTAAGCCTTCCCTTGTCTCTGCACATGCTGCCTCCTCTACCTGGATAGCCCTTCTCTCCCACCCCCAATTGCCTCCCACTCCCTTTGCCTGGCTGACTCTTCTTTGTTGTCAGATACCACCTTTGGTGTCACGCTCCTTCATCCTCCTAGTCTTGGTCATGTGTCCCTTCTGGGTGCCCCCATATGCATCCTGCACCAGTCTATCAACCACACTGCACTGTAATTGCTGGTTTGATGGTCTGATTTTCACATGGATTGAGTTTCAGGAGAGCAGGAGCAGGATCTTGATCACCACTGTGTGTCCAGCTTCTAGCACAGTGCCTGACAAATAATTATGGCAACAACAACAATTGTAATGGCTACCATTTATTGAGCATTTACCACTTGCTGGGTACTATGTTAAGGGCTTTGTGTGGATTATCCCATTTAATCTTTGTGGTGGAGGCTGTGATGTGCTGCTCAGATCTACTTTCAGGAGTGAGAGATTTATTCCACCCACTACTGGGAGTGCTGCAGGAAGACCAATTTCAATCCTTTGGGACTGGCTCAGCTGAAGAGACTGCCTTGCCCCAGGTCATACCTCCTTCCAGCTGTGACTTGCTTCCAATGACTGATCATGAGTGGCATGGGGCCCAGCCCCTTTGGTCCAGCTCAGGATAGGGCTAACAGGCTATCCCAGCTACAGAGCGTCCCTGGGGTTGGCTGCTACTTCCTATGGGACTGCATCACAGCTCAACTTCTCCCTCAATCCTGCTTCCTTTGTTGTTCTTAAGAGAATTCCCTGATAAAATCCTCTTTGCTAACTTCTGTCTCACACTCTGCTTCTCGAGGAACCAAACCTGAAACAATC